ATGGGTTTTTTTATTTAAATTTGAATTTTGAAAAAAAAAATAACACCTCATTTTTACCAAGACAGAGGGACTAAGGGACTAAAGGGACTAAGGGACTAAAGGGACTAAAGGGACTAAAGGGACTAAGGGACTAAGGGACTAAAGGGACTAAGGGACTAAGGGAAGGAATAATGGTGTACACAGAGACGTGCATGGGTCGCGGCTCTTCGGGAGGCGCTTCGCGCCCCCACGCTGCGACGCTGAAATAAAAGGCGTGTTAAGTGAGGAAACGCTCTTCCCCACTGAATAGTCCGCTTAGTCCCTTAGTCCCTTAGTCCCCTTAGGGTCAAGAAAAGTGAGCATCACCTGGAATGCTAGTAGCATCAACTGGGATGCTACTAGCATCACCTGGAATGCTAGTAGCATCAACTGGGATGCTACTAGCATCACCTGGGATGCTACTAGCATCACATGGGATGCTACTAGCATCACCTGGGATGCTACTAGCATCACCTGGGATACTGCAGACATCACCTAAGATGCCAGTGGTATACCAGGTGATGCTACTAGCATCCCAGGTGATGCCTATAGCATCCCAGATGATGCCTCTAGCATCCCAGGTGATGCCTCTAACTTCGCAGATGATGCTACTAGCATCCCAGGTGATGCCTATATCATCCCAGGTGATGCCTGTAGCATAACAGGTAATGCTACTAGCATCCCAGGTGATGCCCCTAGCATCCCAGATGATGCCTCTAGCATCCCAGGTGAGCCTCTAACATCTCAGACGATGCCTCTGGCAACACAGTTGGTTTCTTTGGTGAGCTCCTAATTTGAAATTTACGCAGTTTCGAGCTCACTTTTCGTGACCTCCCCATAGTCCCTTAGTCCCTTAGTCCCTTTAGTCCCTTAGTCCCTTTAGTCCCTTTAGTCCCTTAGTTCCTTTAGTCCCTTAGTCCCTTTAGTCCCTTAGTCCCTTAGTCCCTTATTTCAATTTGAAATCAAGTGCTCTTTTTTCTGTCTAAATTCAGATTGAAATTAAATAACCCATAGTATGAAAAGATTATAATCAGTTTTCACATGGAGTTGATCGATTTAACCAAAGAATATCGTGCTACAATCTCGATCGCAAGTCTAAAAGGAACTGGCTGCGAATGTTTATTTATTTTCTAAATGCATCTATTTTCAAGTCATTCGTTTGTTATATTCAGCTAGCTCAAGATAAATTAACATACTTGAACTACATGGTTTCATTGGTGAAGTCTCTCTGTTCCGGCTGTAAACGAATAAGACGTGGAAGACCTCCTTCTGAAAAGAAGTCTAAACTAGCATCACCAAAAACTGTCCCTAATTTTAACAATGAAACGCATTTGCCTGTGACAGCAAAAAAGAAGAAGATGTGCTTAATGTAGCACCAAAGAAGCAACTTTTTGATCTAATATCGAATGCTTCACATGCAAATTGCAATTTTGTTTAAACAAATAAAAAAAATTGTTTTTTTGATTATCGTAAGGTTTTTATGTAGTCATTTCGAGTTAAAATTAAAAGGTTGAATAATACTTTTTTTCTATTAAGGCCACCCCCCCCCCCCCCCCCAAAATACGATCTCAGCCTAGGAGCATTCAAATGGGCTGAAATTTGGAGCATATGTTGGGGCTGACGTGGAAAAGCTGTGGTAAAATTTTCAGCCCTAAACAATGGAGTTTAAGAGAGTTATTGATCAAACAATGGTAAAAATTAGCTCATTCGGCAACCCATTTTTTTCCGTCCAGGTCCTATCAATGTATTAATTCCTTGTTTTCATTAGAAAAAGCGTGTCAAGATGCAGGGCATGACGGGCTTATTTTTTTTAAATATTGACTTTTTTAGCGGAAAAAAACAACGACAATTTCAATCACTGAAAAAGCACCCGAAAAATTGTCACCAAATTATGTAAGTGTTTTTATATATAATAAAAAAAAGTACTCAATTGAAAAATCGGGACTCGTCGTGCCCTGCATCTTGACGCGCTCTTTCAAACAAAAAAAAATATTAATACATTGGACGAACCATTACAGAGAAATTTGGGATGCGCGTAAAAGATAGCGAAAAATGAGAAAAAACGAAAAAGATTTTTGGATATTTCAAAAAACCGCTGGTTTTTCAAAAACTGGTTCTCTGAAATCCTGAAAAGTTTCTAGGAAAAATGGAGTTTTCAGGAAAAATTTTTATCGATTTTTAAAGAGCAAACGACGAGCTATCTTCCTATGTATTTATCTCAATTTTGACAGTTCTCACGAAAATTGACTTTTTTTGAAAGGGGGGGACCTTAAAAAATTCCGTCCTCAAAGGGTTAATGGCTGAAAACTACAACTTAAAATGCTCTCTCATGGTGAAGTACCACTGTATTTAAAATTTGTTCAATCTTAGAAAAATGTTTCATTTACCATTACCAATCAAACAGCGATCGTATTCGAACATGGTTAATATATATAATGAAACTTTTGGATCGGTGTAATTCTTGTCTATGCTCATCACAGAGATACACCATGTTCAAAGATATCAATTATTCGAGAAAATAATCCTGTTTGTTGTAAAAACAATTTGACAATGGAGAGAAAGAAACTATCTAAAATCTTTTGTTATAAAACATTAACTGAAAGATTATCTTTAATACGAGTTCAAAATATTAGTCGATGTATCATAGTTGGCAATCATCCCATTGTCCAATACAAGAATGTGATCACATTTGGCAACTGTATTTAATCGATGAGCAATAATCAAAATAGTTCGATCATGAAATTTGTTCTTGATCAATGTTTGAATAAGATTATCTGTTTTTTGATCAACATTAGCTGTTGCTTCATCGATCAATAAGATTTTCGTATTTTTCAATATAGCTCGTGCAAAATTGATCAATTGACACTGACCCACACTCAAATTGTGGCCCCATTCACTAATCGACATTTCAAGACCTGCTGGATGATTTTGAACAAATTGTTTGAGTTGAACATCCTCGAGTACTTTCCAACATTGTTCATCTGAATAACAATTGAAAGGATCAAGATTATATCGTAGACTTCCACTGAACATCACAGGTTGTTGAGGAATAGTAGTCAGATTTGATCGAAGATGATTCAGTCGAAGACGATGGATATTCACATCATCTACCAGAATGTGACCATTCACATTTGATTGATCAATTAATCGGAGGAGTCCTTTGAAGAGAGACGATTTTCCAGCACCTAAGCAGACACGTCAAAGAGATGAAACACATCTCACATTGAAATATGAATACATACCAGTTCGACCAATAATACCAATCTTTTGGCCTGATTCAATATGCAAATCAATGTTTCTGAGAGCATATGGAAGATTAGCTTGATACCGTAATGAATAATTTCGAAATTCGATTCTTCCCTCACTAGGCCAATCTGGTGAAGTTTTAATAAGATGCTTACAATCGCTTTCATTCTCTTCTCGAGGTAAATGTCCATACTCATCAATACGTTGAGCACTTGTCATCAATATATCAGCTTCTACAAATTTTCGAAGACTCCATTGAAACACCAATACAATAGACATAGTACAGATCAAGGTGAGTGCCGCATCAGATGAAATGATTTGATTCGGAAGAATTACTATTCGAATAGAAGTAGCTAATAAAATGAATAAACTTAAAATAGTTAATATCAATGCAAATAATTGTGTTGCAGCTTGTACAGTAATATATGATGATGTATTAACATCCATTTTGTTAGAAACTAATTGAATAAAACTCTTTTCAGCTTTGAATGCTCGAATAGTTGATAAGCCACTTAGAGATGTTGAAAATAATGCAGCAATTCAAGTTTTATGCCATCGAACTTTTGATTATGTTGGACCCCTAGAGTAAAGAAAATGATGAGTTCTTTAATAGACTGAAATCTTTTGTGTAGTCATGGACTGATTCTGTCTTTCATGCGTTTGCTTACTTAGGCGTAGGCAGAAAGCTGAAAGTTTTTAAATCTTCCTTGCCTCCTTTGAACAGATTTCCTTGCAGATGTTAGGATAACTTTATTTTTGACTAGGTTGACGTCTAGATGTGAAAACTTCGGAATGGTAACCATATATTTTAAGCCAAAGCAGGAGTTTCATCGCTGCTGATTAGCAAAAAGAGAAAATATTTCAAAGTTAAGAACGTATTTCCTTGCTACTCACAACATAATATGTACCCATGTAAATATTTTTTGCCTCAAAACGCGTCTGAAACGCGTTTCATTTGCGTGCGAAACGCTAAGAGTGAACGCGTTTGAACGCGTCCCCAGTGAAACAAACGGAGCGTTTAAACGCGATTTATTTTAGAAACGCGTGTGAATGCACTTCTAGCTTGACTTGCGTTCAAACGCATTTTTAGCGAAAACGCGTCCCAGATGAAATATTTAATGTGTCTGGACGCGTTTCATAAAAAAACTAAAAATTTTGAAAAAAATATGATAATCCATTTCAGATTCGAACTGAGTCGCCACCATCAATATTTTTTGATGATCTTAGCCTTCCCTGGCAAATGGATTAGATTTTACCTTAAGCGACGA